TGCTAACCAGAAGGTTGGCGGTTCAAACCCACCAGCCACTCCTCGGAAGGAAGATGGGGCAATCTACTTCCGTAGTGATACCGCCTCGGAAACCCAAGGAGGGGTCGCTATGAGTCGAGTCCGACTAGACGGCACATAACAACAACACCAGCTATCACCATGGTTACCGGGAGTTCTGAATTGAACTTGGTGAATAGCTAGCTGCACCTGGAAGCCATCTCCCATAACCACTGCATAGTGGATGCTGCGATTTCCTAAATACCATACATCAAAGTCCCTATTAGGCTCCACGATATAAAGTGATTTGCAAGCAGGGGTGGAAGGGGAGGGGAGGAGAGGAAACACTGCAAAATAATTTAAAAAGGCAGAAAAAAAAGTGATTTGCAAGATTTTCAGAGTTAAGCTGGGTACGGTGGTTGGTGACTGTGATGTAGAGTTAGATCGAAATTAAGAAAAAGTTTTAACAGAATTGGGCTTTTAAGTGGTTTGCTTTTAAAAGCCTAAAAACGAGTAACAGTTTGATCTGGTGGTTGCATTGGTAATATGCTAAGATTTAGTTTTTTAAGGAAAACAAAAACTAAGATTAAAAATTGAGAGATCCTAATTTCTAGTTGTGTAATCTTGGGAAAGTTACTCGTTTTCAGCTTCTGAGAAATGAAGACGCTAACAGCTATGGTTTTCTCACAGGATTCCATTAAATATTGTGTAGTTTGAATGCTTGGTTTGTAAGTGGCATACGAAGTTAGTTAATGTCTTTTTTTGTGTAGTTCTTACATAATTTAAAGTTCCTAAGCTTTTCCAAATTCATTGATGTCAAATCAAATTTGAAAGCCATCACTTTTTTTTTTTTGGATATTGTTTTATTTTTGTCTCCAACTTTAGATTCGGTGGTCAGAAATTTTTCAACTTCTCTACATTCAGCTTAAACTCCTGTGAGCTTTTCAAGGGTGGGTTAATGTTTTTTTTAAAAATCATGTGTATTCCTGGAACTTAGCATGGTGGCTGTCATGCATCAGGAGTCAGCCTATATTTTTTGGAAATTTTTTTTCATACTTTTCTGTTTTTAGATCTAAACTGGTAAAAACCTAAGTTTTGGGTGCATCAAGAACAAACCAGTTTTACACAGAAAATCTTGTTTCTTGTCACTAGAAAATTATGCTTTAGCTGTGTATAGTTCATAGGGCTAGTTAAAAAGAGTTGGGTAAAGAATTAGATTGGAAATTAGTTTTATTCACCATCACTCTCAGAGCAGATGTGTACCTTTTCTGTGCTCCGCAGAGAGGATACCGCTAAATGTGGCAAGGAACACTGATGTGCCAGTTCCAAAGTGGTCTTTGACAGTGACAGCACATTTGATTAAATTGTAAACCTCTAAAAATGCTGATCTCTGGGCCCTATCCCAGACCAGTTAATCAGAATCTCTGAGGGTGAAATGGGGCATGGACTTCTCACTTTTTAAAGGTTCATGAGTAATTGTTGTTTACAGCCAGAAGAATCCCTGTGTTAAATGACAGACAGTTTTCAGAAGTATAGCTGGTTTGCGTGAGGAGGGAAAGGGCTAGAGGGACTGGAGCTTCATCTGGAAGATGCAGACTGAGGCATTTGGGGGCATATTATTAGAAGATGTTTTATCAGGTGTGATAAATCTATGTAGTGAGCAAAGCCAGAGGAAAAATGATGAGCAGCATCAGGAATGATACAGACAAGAGATTCAAAAAGCAGTTTTGAGCTATGTCTTAGTCTTAGTTATCTAGTGCTGCTATAACAGAAATACCACAAATGGGTGGCTTTAACAAGCAGATTTATTTTCTTACAGTTTAGGAGGCTAGAAGTCTGAATTCAGAGTGCTGGCTTTAGGCAAAGGCTTTATTTCTCTAATGGCTCTGGAGGAATGTCCTTGTCTCTTCAGTTTCTGCTTCCTGATTCCTTAGAGATCTCCATCTATCTGGCTTGTCATCTGTTTTACTCCATCTCTGCTTACTCACTTGCTTGTTAATCTCAAAACATACCTTACACTAATCCTGCCTCATTGACATAACAAAGACAGATCATTCCCAAATCAAGATTATAACCACAGGGATAGAAGTTAGGATTTATAACACATGTTTTTGGGGGACATACTGCAATCCATAACATTCCACCATTTGCACCTCCCCCCACCCCAAATTCATGTCTTTTATACATGCAAACACATTGACCTCATGATATTATCCCAGAAGTTTGAAATCAACTCCAAATCCAAAATCTCTTTTTAGTCATCTAAATCAAAATGGGTAAAACTTTAGATATATTCCATCCTAGGGCAAAATTTCTCTTCATCTGTTAGCCTGTGAAATCTAGAACACAAGTTAACCTGTTTCCAAAGTACAATGATAGGCATTTCCAATACAAATGGGAGAAATCTGGAGGGAAGGAAGGGATAACAGGCACCAAGTAAGCCCAAAACCCAGCAGAACAGATTGGATTAGCTTGCAAGGCTTGAAAATAATCCTCTCTTTGAGACCATCTGGGCAATTGTCCTGCTCTGCAGACTTTGGGTATTGATCATGCCCTTTTGATTCTGGGTGGAGGCCTGGGCTCTGGGCTTCAGCTCTGCCTTTGATGACAACTTTGCTCTCTTTGCTTTGAGTAGCCCATTCTACTCCATCTGAGTAGTGACCCCACCCCCTTGGCCCTGGCAGGCCCCATTCTTCTATACCGTGGGCATGGCAGCCCGTACTTCAGCTTTGGGCAGTGGACCTTTGCCTTGGGCAGCCCCACACTCTGAGTTGACGAAAGATCTACTCTAAAATCTAGGAAGGTGTGGCCCCAACTTTGAGATCCAGGAGGCTGTTGCCCCACCCTTTGAAACTGAGAAGGCCCTGCTTTCCATGTTCCTTCAGTTCTGCTGATCTCAGAGTTGCTCCTGGTATGTTCTTTCCTTGTCTTGGATGACAGAAGTAGCTCCTTTGGCCTGGATGACAGAAGTAGCTCCTTTGGCCTGTTGCCTGCTTGTATAATTTGAAGAGGCAGTGTTCTTTATCTGCCCCCTTCATTCTGAGCTGATGGAATTTTTGCTGTGGTAGTTGATTAGAGCTATCAGTTACAGACTTAATTTCTTTAACCAGAGATTGTGTAGCCCTGTCCTTGCTGAAAATGCTGGGACGCGTGTCCTTAGCTGTGTCTTTAGTTCATATAACAGAATTTTCCAAATTTTTCTTCTTGTGTTTTACTGTAAGCATCAAAGAGAAAACACATGATCCCTTTAAGATCTTGGTTAGAAATCTTCTCAGCCTAATGTCCATATTCATCACTTAGATGTTCTACCTTCCACCAAACCATTTGAACATAATTCAGACACGTTTGCCACTGCGTGAAAGACATCACTTTTTGTTCAATCACATGTTCGTCATTTTCTTTTATAGCCTCACCAGAAATGCATTCAGTGTCTACATTTTTATAGCATTGTGTTACTAGTGTTAACATGTATTCTCTAAGATGACACTTTCTTTGTACTTCTCCTCACCTCCTTCTGAGCCCCGGTCATGAAGGTCATTCCTTTGACATCCACCCATTACCCAGTACCAAAAACACTTCCACGTTGTAAGTGTCTGTTAGAGCTCTTCTGGTACCAAACTGTCTTAATTACCTAATGCTGCTGTATACTATAACAAATACCACAAGTAAATAGCTTTAACAATTGGAATTTATTTTCTTATAGTTTGGGAGGTTAGAAGTCTGAATTCAGACCATGGGTTGTAGTGGAAAGCTTTTCCTCTGTCAGTTCTGGAATAAAGTTCTTGCCTTTTTAGCTTTTGCTTCCTGGTTCCTTGAAGATCTCCTTGTGTCTTGGCATGTCTTGTACCACATCTCTGTTCTGCATGTTTGCTTGTTTAATCTCTTATATCTCAGATAGACCCAAGACACACACTACACTAATCCTGCCTTGTTAATATAACATAGACAACTCATTCCCAAATGGGATTTTAACCACAGGTGTAGAAATTCTGAGCCGACTGCCACTGTCAAATTAATTCCGACTATTAGTAACCCTCTTAGGACAGAGTAGAAGAACTGCCCCATAGGGTTTCTGAGGCTGTAAACCTTTACAGAATCAGACTGTTTCATCTTTTTCCTGCATAGTGGTTGGTGGGTTCAAACTGCCAGCCATGTGGCAAGCAGTCGGATGCTTTAACTGCTATGCCACTGGAGCTTCTTGGCATAGAGGTTAGGATTTTTTGGTGGTGGTGGTGTGATTTGGGTGAAAATTTACAGAGCAAATTCACTTTCCATACAGCAGTTCACATACGTTTTGTCTCATGACATTGACCACAATTCACCACAATGCACAGCTCCCCTCCCACTTCCTCCTGACAGTCACCTCTTCCCTGAGGTTAGGATTTTGAATACATATTTTGGGAGAAACAATTCAGTCCATAACAAGAAAATCTTGTTATGATTTACTGAACTTTGTGGCCAACTGAAGTAGTATTTCACTTTTGAAGAATCTTATCGATTGAATTTTCAATTTAGCATATCTGCAGAAGTTATAAACAAACATGTCACTTTCCCCAGTTACTTTACATAGTAGTTGTTGGGATAAGGTGTGCTTTTTCTCTAAAGGAAACTGTATTGAGATATAAGTCGTGATTTTAACTTGCAGACTATATTCTGCTCTATCTAGTTCAAACTGTACTTTTCAGCAATGAGCAGAAAGATTTTGATACCAAAACCAAACTCAATGCCATTGAGTCAGATCCGGCTCATAGCGACCCCTCCTTGGGTTTCCAAAGCAGTATCACTATAGAAGCAGATTGCCGGATCTTCTTTCTGAGGAGTGGCTGGTGGGTTTGAACCGCCAGCCTTCTGGTTAGCAATCAAGTGTCTTAGGCACTACATATATTTTATTTCAATGTGTTAAAAATATATATGCTTCAAGTAATTTTCTCATTAATTACTAAATCTCATTTCTTACTCTGGTTAGTCATGTTAATAAGTTTTTGTTGTTTTTGCTTTTACAGTACTGTAAGATTGATATTAAAGACGGGATTTTCACCTCACTTCAGCAACACACATACATTTTCTCTTCTGTTTGGACTCCTGTTATACCACAATGGTAAGCTATAACTCAGTAGTTCGGAATTTGTGTTTAGAAAGGTATTAGAATGTTCTCTTCCTTCATCTCCACAGAATACAAATATTATAGATACAGAAATGCTTTTATAAATTGTACATTACTATAACTGGGAAATTACACAGAAATAATTTACATAGTCCTTGCTACAAAACATGTGCATCTTGCAATTCTATTTTCTAATTATCATGTATAATTTACACAGATAATCCATCTACCTTTTTGAAATGTTAAAAAAAAAAATTTAATTCTGTATACTTTACTATTAAGGAACTGTGGTGGCACAGTGCTTAAGGTATTTGCTAACCAGAAGGTTGGTGGTTCAAACCCACCACTCACTCTGTGGATTGAAGACAGGGCAATATACTTCTGTAAAGATTTACTGCCTTGGAAACCTAATGGGGGTTGCTGAGAGTCAGAATCAACTTGATAGTCCAAATCCTTGGCAAAGCTGATGATTATATTTGTAAATAGTTTTAGGGCACACAGCTTCTTCATATATTAAAAATTTCTCTAAATTTATTTTTTAAATTTAAAAACAAATGTACATCCATTTGCCTGTTTGTTGTTGCACATGACATACACATTAAGCAGCATCAGTGCTAGCCTTCCTTATGGAATGTTACTATTTACCTACATTCAGTTAGTAAACATGTTTAAGGCTAGGCATTAACTTTTGCCATTAAAAAATTAAAGGAAAAAATACTTTCTAATGTTTTAAAGAGGAGAGAGCATTTGACAGTAGGAGAATAAATGAACATTGACCAAACCTTGGAAAACATACATCCTTCTCCTCTTGGGATCTTTTATATCTCTACTCCTGCTCTGTTACTAAAAAGTGGAGCTATCACAGTAGGGTTATATGTTGCTTTCTTATTACTTTGTTATTTCCTTGTTAAATATTTGAAGGAGATTGTGAATGAAGGACTCTTAGTTGTACAAATGCACATGTATCTAACTAGATCTTTCAAAGTTTTGATTTCAGAAGATAAAATATTTATTTGAGCAGACTGGCTATTTAAAATTGTCTTATAGTGTATATTTAACTCTAATTATTTGATATAAATTTATTTTAAGATTGTATTTTTATGCTGGAAAATAGGTTATACTCAAAAATCTAATCATGAATCCTGGGAACCAGTTTTATTGAGAATCTACTCATAAGATTTTAAAATAGATTTTATATACTTATTTTAACTGAGCCTTTTGTAATGATGGTAAATTTTAGACTTTTTTCACTTCTTATATTTAGGTATTTGGATTATCTTTGATTATACTCTAAAAAGGCCAGCTATTTTTATAGACATATGAATTCTTCATTCTTAGTGGAGGTATTAATGTCCCTTACCTTTCCAAGCACTTCCAGAAAATGGGGATTTTTGTTCTTCCCCCAATAGTTTTGGGGTTTCAGTAGATGGAAAGAATTTTTAATCCATGCAATTTGATAGGCTGAGTTATGAGATCCTGCAAAATAAAACAATCTGGATCCTTGTAAATGAAAATGAAAGTTCTGTGTCTCTGATTGAATCAAAAGATATTTAGCAATCTGAATGAAAAGTACCTTAACTTTTGTGGTATGGTACCCAAACCACAAAACTGGAAAGATAAATCATTGATGGTACATATGTTTAACTTTGTTTAAATCTAGTGCTTTTTATTTTTATGTGTTATTATAAAAGTAAACTTCACAAATGTGGAAGATGTCACTTTTATATTTCTCCTCCTTCCTTAAAATAAAGGTCTCTAAGAAATGGATGAAGGATAGGGATCTAATAGATCTCAAACCTTAACTTTTAATAGTAATACTATATTTCATCAATTTTAAGATGCATTTTTATACATCTTAAAGTCTCTGAATTCCAGATGAGTGTACAATCAATTATATCCTGTAGTTATAATTGGCAGTGTTTTTTCTTTCTTAATGTTAACTAAAATAACAGCGTATTCATATAATTGATAGCATCTTAAATTCGTTATAATATCATTGTTCATTGCATTTCTTCTAGGCATTGAGCTAGAAACTGTTGTTATAGGTTCTTTGCATATATTAAGAATTTCTAAATTGATATTTGGTACCAAACACCACCCCACTCCCATTTTTTGGTATTCTTAACAGATACGAGAATTGTGTCTGTTTTGATACTTAACAGCCGTAGGTTTTCCTGGATTGTGCTTTTAGAATATGGAAGAAATTAGGGTTTATATGCTGTGGAAGACAAGCCTGGCTGTTACTTCTGAATGGTCACAGCCTTAAAAACCCAGTGGAAGCAGTTTTACTCTGTGCACATGGGTTCACTGTGAGTTGGAATCAACTTGAAGGCAATAAATGACAAAAATAGTGGTAGCTACATTATTCAGCTCTTTTTATCAGCCTCATGAGTACTAACCACAAAACAGTTTTAGCATTTCTTATCTAGTTTGTTGCCATAATCAGGTGCCCAATACTGCCACATTTGTTCTTGTAACATAACATACAGTGGGGTGGAGGAGAGAAAGAAAATATATTAGACCCATTTTAGAAAATAGGACACATTTAAAATACTTAATTAGAAATGTTAAATGTATATTCAGTTATTTGTTGTGAAAATAACTAATATTACCAAATACACTATTTACTTTTTACAGCAACAAGCTTTAGAACTAGCTTTGGATCGTGCGGAGGTGAGGCGTGACTAAGTTACATATTAAAATAGTCTTTAATTGACAAAAAAACCTCAATTTTAAGAGACTTGTATATTATTTTAGGACAAGTATGTAAGTCCTTTTGCTGTGAATATACAAAAATAGGTTATGTTTGGATCATCTATTACTTGGAATCCTTAGATCATAGTGCTGTGGAATAAAATGTATCTGAACAAGGACATACATTTTCTGAAAGTATCTTTTCTTATTTGACAACTTTTCTTAATTAAAGGAGAAAAATAGCTAAAAAATAGAGTCCTTGCAATTAAATATGGTGCTGTTTTAAATACATACGTATATTCCAGAGAACCAGAAAACAGAATATTTCTGACCTGTGAAAATGCAGTTCTGGACCTAATAAGGTTTTGCTTACATTATAGCAATGAAATATATCTACTCCTCACTTATCAACTCTCTGGTTATCTGACATTTCACATTAGTATACAATAGTAAAAAGTCTACTATCCGACTATTTTGTGCATTAACAAGTGTGGGGGGCGTTGCATGGTGGCACTGCCTTGTTCCCTTCACTCCCTCCTGCTGGTAAAGGTGCCATATCCAGCACAGCATCCATGGCGAAGGCCCCTAGGCCAACTGGCAGGCAGTGTTGAGCCAGTAGGCATCTGTTACAGCTTTCTAGCTCCTATGCAGCCTGAGACCCTGCAGCTCAAAATTGCTGTGGAGTGGGAAGGTAAGAGAGAAAGAGGCATGGGAGGGGATGTTTGGAAAAAATGTGTGTGTTTAATGACATCCCAAAGTGAGCCAAATTGGACCTGAAGCCTTAGCTTTCTTTGGTTGTGCCTAGTCATTCAGGGTCCCAGCATGCCCAAACTTCAGAGACTTGCCAGGCTTAGAGTGCAGAGCAAGCAGTAGGTTAGGGAACACAAGGCCTGCAGGGGAGCCCTGGAAAAGGCTCCACAAGGGAAGTTCTTACCCAGTATAGGAGGAAGGAGAAGGGGTTAAACCATGGGCCCTCCAGTCATAAAGCCTGGCTTTATTCAGCTTTGTCTTCTCTCAGCCCTCTTCTCCACAGGACTAACCCATAGAACTAGATTACTCAGAGTGATGAGCTCATCAATAAAGCTTAGCTCTTATTTCTGTGATTGTATTTTCTGAATTAAAAGAATCAGACAAATGGGTCATCTGAAAACAGGGGGGAAAGAAAATCCTCCATTATCCCAGAACACTGATTTTCATGTAAGGCCCTTGTCTTTGAAACCTAACCATGTTGATAGATGAGGAGTAAGTATGTTATGCTACATTTTAGTGCAGTTTAAATTTCATTTGTCTGTAACATGTATTTAGAAGTTGAGTAGTTTTACCTACAAGGTATAATGTAACATGATCAGAAACTTTAGTCTCTAAATAGACTTTTTAGCCTTACGGATGTTGTAGATATATATAATATGTTTGTTCCTTCACTACTTAAAAGGCAAACTATGTTCATAAACTTTTCTTTTTTTAGTATGTCATTGAAAGTGCCCGACAGAGACCTCCTAAAAGGAAATACTTAACTAGTGGAAGGTATGCATATGTAATTGATAACATCTTTGATTCATTGAAATATGGTAATGATAGGCAACCACCATTTATTGCATTCCTATTAGGTACTGCAGGAGCTCTGGTGGAACTGGGGTTAAAGCATTGGGCTGTTAACCAAAAGGTCAGCAGTTTGAACCCAGCAGCTGCTCAGCAAGAGAAAGATGGGGCAATCTGATTACAGCTTTGGAAACCTTATAGGGTAGTCTCTGTCCTGTAAGGTTTATATGAGTCGTAATCAACTCAGTGTCAGTGGGTTATTTTTTATTTTTTTAATTAGGTACTGAGCTAGAAAGTTATATTAGTTATTTTCATGTGTTAGAAATTTCTAAATTTATATTAATTATCAGACCCTACTCCTAATTTTGGGGAAATTGGTAAAATTAAGGAAAAAATTTAAATAACATCTATTTTGTGATGATTATTACATTGATATTGTATATTGACATAATTGTATATTGTTCTTTGTTAAAATTTTTTTTAGAAAATCTGTATTTCAAAAACTTTATGACTTATATATTGAAGAATGTGAAAAAGAGCCTGAAGTTAAGGTAAATACACATTTTTTTATGGTTATTGTGGCTTTAAAAATAAGAAGTAGAAAGTGTGGAGGACTTAAATTTGAAGCAATTAATGATTTGTATTTTTGTGAGTGAGCTAACAACATCTTTTCCAGCCAGCCTTATCAGTTATGCAGCTGTACAGAGCCTTGGTTAATCTGGTACTGGAAAGAAACTGCATGCTCAGGTAGGAGAGGGGGAAGAGTGTTTGTATCATAGGAAGCAAAGCCACAGTCTGTGTTAATCTCTGGCTGCTTCTTCATCCTGGGAAGTAATTTCCAGATTGGGATAGAAGAAAAGTAACCCATTTCCTCATGGTGATGATGATTTGTAATGGAAAATTAAAACTATTACAGGACATGCAAGTGATTCACCTGTTACTAACATTAAGTGACCCTGAACTCATTCTTGTGACCAAATTTACTTGTATAATTTTGAATTTCCTGCATGTTATAAAAGTGAATTTGGTCACAAAAATGAGTTCATAGTCAGGGTCACTTAATTTATTTTTAGTTAGCAGAAAGGTATGGGCAGGGGAAGTGTAATAGAAATTGATTTCTTGATGTCTTATGGACTCTTGATTTGGAAGAGCCTTAAAGGTCTCTGTGAACTTCACTTGTCCTTAATGTAATTCCGAAATGAATACTTTTTTACCATTTAGGCAAAAATTGTGAAATATTAGTAGTATCTAGCCTCCAAAATCTTTCCATAGGTGAAAAAAAAATGACTGTTGGATTCGTACAAATAAATCTTATGGTGTGGTTTCCTTATTGACATATAATAGATTGTGTGTACATAATAAACTGCCCATTTTTGGGATAAATCCATGTGTAAATTTTTTCCCTTTATTTTTTTAAAATCATGTTAAAATATGTTGTTGTTATGTGCCGTCGAGTCGGCCCCGACTCATAGCGACCCCTCCTTGGGTTCCCGAGGCAGTATCACTACGGAAGTAGGATTGCCCAACCTTCCTTCCGAGGAGTGGCTGGTGGGTTTGAACCGCCAGCCTTCTGGTGAACAGTCAAGTGCCTTAGCCACTATGCTACCAGAGTTCCCGTGTTTTTAAAATATATATAACAAAAAATTTTTGGTAGTTTCTTTTTGTTTGTTTATATATCATAGTAGTTAAAAATTGTTCACCTTTTTCTTTTCACCCTGGAATAGAACATTTTTTATTCTTGAGTGCTGATCAAAAATTTACAATTCTTCTGCTTATGACTCTGTATATGAATATACATTTATCTGATATTTACAGGTGTTACATTTAATTTGTGTATATGTAAATATATTTGGTTTAGTTTTGAGATCCTGTAAAAATATTCTATTGACTTAGATAGCTTTCCTAAGATTCAGTAAAAGGAATTGCTGTATGTGTAAGTAGTTTTCATTCCAAATAATACACATTTCTGAAACCATGGATTTTGGTGAAGACGTGTGGTATTTCCTGGTTTCTTATTTGTCTTTTTTTTTTTTTAAGGCAATGTTAGTGATTTCTAAGGAACTGTAAATTGAATTTAAAGAAAATTGTCTATACTTCCTCTTAACCAGTTAGTTATTTTATGTTTAACATTTTAACTTATTAGAGCTGTTGAACTTACTTGGATTTAATAAAGGCCATAAAATATTTAACAAATGTACACTTAATCACAGTAGAACCAAAGGGAATGTACCAAATTTTTCATTTGTATAAGACTTATACTTGATAGAAATAAATTATATAGCATATATGATTTTTATATTTGTATTTAATGGTTTTATATTTTTATTTAAAAATTTTGTTTAACCTTCAAAGTTACGTATTTTGTATTTAGATACTTTTCTTGTTTTTTAGATTATCAGTTTTTCTTTGTGATTGAATTGATAATACATAAAACTTAGCAGTAGATAAAAATTAAGTGTACATAGGTGTCCTGTACATGGTGGCCATACCATTTATGCATCTTTCCCGTATATTCAGAATCATATGGAAGGAGCACCCAGAGACTACATCAGGTCTGATGCATTATTTGTCAAGGTTATACTAGATTATTTTCATGAGCTCTGCCTCTTTTTAAAGCAGAAGTTAAGAAGAAATGTGAACTTGTTAGAGAAGCTCGTTATGCAAGAGACATTGTCATGTCTCGTGGTCAACCTGTACCCAGGAAATGAGGGATATTCTCTGATGCTCAGGGGGAAAAATGGATCAGGTAAGATGCTCCAGAGGACACTTTTCACAAAAATACTTCCATCAGGCAAGATGTGCCGTTTTTTTAAAAGGGTAACCTGCTAAATGATTTGTCCATCAGATAAGTTTTGGGTTAGTGATGGAAACGGAATTTTGATGTCTCTTCTTTATGATATGATTTGTGAGAATATTAGAAATTCTCTCAAGTATGATTATCCTTCCTAAATATACATTTGAAAAGTATTCTAATTGAGCTAAGTCTTTGATGTCAGATTGTAAAAGACAGTGTTTAATGATTGTCAAAATTTCCTTTTTCTTCTATTGCCATTTATATTACATTTTTATTTTATGATAGCATTAAGATGTTTTAAGGTATGTTTTCCTTCTGCAGTTTGAATACACTCTGAATCCAAATCCTTCAAAATTATGCAGACATTTAGATAATTTTTTGTTATTTTGTGAATGTGAGTATCAAAGTTTTAAAATACAAGTAATCTTAGATTTCACTAGAGGCATCTAGAAATTTGATACGGCCATACTAATGTTATGGGTTCTATAGGGAACTATCTAGAATTTGTTCTTCTGTTGCTAATTAATTATAAAATGTAACACTAGAGGATTTTGTTCTACAAGTGGGCATGTTTCAGAGGAGGTGCCAAATTACCACTCCTGATTTTCAGATTAGATTAATTAGTCATGAAGGAACTTTCAGTTAATCTCATGCTAGAATTTTGTCATATTCTGGTTATGGTGTTGCTGGCTGTGATTTGAAGTGTATTCTGCTGGTTTTACTTTTTACATCGGAATTGAGCTTTGGCTGCCAGCCAGATGTTTTTTCGTATCTTTCATGCTTTTTTCCCCTTTCTGGTCTAAAATTTTATATAATTTAGTGAGTCTTTTCGTAATAAGAAAAGTGAGTGATATATAAGACTTAAATGAAGGACATTAACCTTTTGGTTTTATTCTGTTTTTATTTTTTATGAAAACTCATTTGAATTAAGCACCTAGATTTTCTGTGAGCTTGTTTATTTCAAGAAACTTTATATGTTTGAATTAAGATTCTGAGACCATTCGATTGCCTTATGAAGAAGGGGAATTGCTTGAATACTTGGATGCAGAAGAATTACCTCCTATTTTGGTTGATCTCCTGGAAAAATCTCAGGTACAAAATGACTCTCTTTATTTTCCTTACATTTGTGAGCTACAAGGTATTTTGTGAGAAATCATACTTAATCTGTGTTATTAACAGTGTTTAAAACATGAAATGAAATACTATTATATAATTATGTGGAAATTGGCTTGTTATGGAATGTTTAGGCTTATATTGAAACATTTAGATTTAGTTATTCAGTTCTTCTAAAACTGCTATATCAATTAGCTTATCAGTTGAATATCTCCTTACAGCTAAGAAATTACTCTCAATATGCATGAAGACATAAACCTTTTGCTTGGGCAGCAGAAATTGGCTTTTATCTCTGTACTTTCTTTATATTCAACTTCAGTAATCACTTCTTTTCTCTGCTCTCCTTTCTTCTTACTCCCTTGGCCCACCCCTGCTATGTACTTCACTGAGGAAAGAGACACAATCACCTAGCAACTTTCATTTGCCTCTAGCCCTGGTTGGCCAGTTTCCCCATATCTTTTTCCATACTTTCTGCCTGCCTTCCTGTTAAAATAGATGTCATGTGTTGCTCCTAAAGCATCCATAGGGACTTGTGTTCTGGATTGTAACTTCCTTTTCTCCAGGACTTGCAACAATAGCCTCCACTCTGGTGTCTTCTTTTTATTTTTCTTTGTCTATTACATCAAGAACACAAATACACTGTACTCTCTCCCAACTTAAAAAAAAAAAAAAAAATTCATCTTTGACCAAATATCCTCCTCCATTTACTGCTTTATATTTCTCCTTTGGACAGGAAAACTACTCAAAAAATTGTCTATAATCTATAATCATTGTCTTCTCTTCCTCATATCCCATTCTTTACTCAACCAGCTTTACTCAGCATTATGGCATCATACAGAGGCTGCTCTTGCCCAGATAATCAGTGATCCTCATGGCACCAAATCATTGATCACTTTTCTGTTCTTGTCCTAATTATTCTCTTAGCTAAGTTCAATGCAAATGACCACTTCCTCTTTGTAACATCTTTTTTTTAGACTTTTTGGGGGGAGACATCAGATATTCCTGGTTTCCCTCTTTCTTCATTATTCTTTTGGTCTTTCTGTCTTCTGTGCTCCATCCATATGTGTGTGCAGGTTTTAGCATTCAGTCCAAGGCCCTTTATTCTTCAGCAACATGATTACAACCAATTTCATGGATTTAAAAATGCCATTTATGATCCCTAGCCGTGGGCAATCCACCAAGCCCCAAACTCCCATAGGTTCTTCAGAGTTAACAGAAACAGAACTTTTTAATATCCCCTCCTGCACCATCCCCAGTCCCTCCAATCTAAGGAATGACTCTACTCAGTTCCTGGAGTTAAAAACCAGCTAATCATTCTTAATTCTTCTCTTTCCATCACCTTCTACATTCAGTCTATCAGCACGTATCAGCTCTTCCTTCAAAATATGTGATCCACTGCCATAGTATATAAGTAGCTCTGGTGGCATAGTGCCTAAGGCATTTGACTGCTAATCAGAAGGTTAGTGGTTCAAACCCACCAGCCACTCCATGGAAGGAAGACTGAGCCATCTACTTCTGTAAAGATCTACCGCCTCAGAAACCCAAAGGGGGTCGCTATGAGTGGGGATCAACTTGATGGCAGTGAGTTTGGTTTTTTGGTTCTGGTTTTACTGCCAGTTATCTTGATAAACTCCCTATTTTCATTCTGTTGTCGTTAGGTGCTGTCGAGTTGGCTCAGACTCATAGCAACCCTTTGTACAACAGAACAAAACATTGCCTGTTTGTGTGCCATCCTCACAATCTTTGCTGTGCTTGAACCCACCATTGCAGCCACTGTGTCGGTCCGTCTTGTTGAGGGTCTTCCCCTTTGTCACCCTCCACTTTACCAAGCATGATATCCTTCTCAAGGGATTGGTCCCTTCTCACAATGTGACCAAAGTAGGTGAGACGGAGTCTGACCATTCTCACTATCAATGACATTCTGTTGTACTTCTTCCAGGAAAAGTTGTTCATTCTTCTGGAAGTCCATGGTATTTTTGGTATTCTTCTCTCCAACACCACAATTCAAAAACATCAACTCTTTTTTGGTCTTCCTTATTCATTGTCCAGCTTTCACATGTACATAAGGCAATTATAGATACCATGACTTGCATTAGGCGCAGCTTAGTGTTCAAAGTGACTTCTTTGCATCTTTGCTCTTCAGCACTTTAAAGAGGTTTTGCAGCAGATTTTCCTGGTGCAATATGACACCTGATCTTTTGACTGCTGATTCTTTGGGTATTGATTGTGGAACCAAGTGATATGAAATCTTTGACATTTTCAGTCTTTTCTCCATTTATCATGATGCTGCTTATTAGTCCAGTTGTGAGGATTTTTGTTTTCTTTATGTTGAGGTGTAAGCCATATTGTAAACAGTAGTCTAATGTTCATCAGCAAGTGCTTTAAGTCAATTTCACTTTCAGCGAGCAAGGTTGTGTGATCTGCATATCACATGTTGCTAATGAGTCTTCCTCCAATCCTGGTGCCACGTTCTTCATATAGTCCAGCTTCTCAGATTATTTGGTCAGCATAGAGATTGAATAAATATGGTGAAAGTATACAATCTTGATGCACACTTTTCCTGATTTTACACAATGCAGTATCCCCTTGTTCTGTACAAACAATAGCCACCTGGTCTGTATACATGTTCCTCATAAGTAAAATGAAGTTTTCTGGAATTCCTGTTCTTCTCAGTGTTACCTGTCATTTGTTTTGACCCACACAGTCGAATGCTTTTCCATAGTCAATAAAAAACAAGTACACATCCTTCTGGTAGTCTTTGCTTTCAGCTAAAATCCATCTGACAGTGACAGTGATACCCATTGTTACGTGTCCTCTTCTGAATCCAGCGTGCACTTATGGAAGTTTCCTGTAAATATATTGCTACAACTATTTTTGAATTACCATCAGCAAAATTTTACATGCATATAATACTAATAATACTGTTCTATACTATCCACATTCTTTGGGGTCACCTTTCTTTGGAATGGGTACAGATATGGATCTCTTCTAGTCAGTTGGCTGGGTATACTGTCTTCCAAATTACTTGGTGCTTTCAGTGTGGCATCTGTTTTTTGAAACATCTCAGTAGATGTTCCATCAGTTCCTGGAGGCTTGTTTTTCACCAATTCCTTCAGTGTAGCTTTGACTTCTTCCCCCATCATATGCTACCTCCTGAAATAGTTAATCATGAACCATTTCTTTTTTGTACAGTACTCTTGTGTATTCTTTCTGTCTTCTTTTGATATTTCCTGCATCATTCAATATTTTCCCACAGAATCCTTCAGTATTGTAATTCGAGGCTTGAATTTTTTTTTTTTTTTCAATTCTTTCAGTTTGAGAGATGCCAAGCATGTTCTTCCCTTTTGGCTTTCTCACTCTAGATCTTTGCACATTTCATTATACTTGTTTTCTCAAGCTGCTCTTTGGAATCATCTGTTCAGCTCTTTTGTCCTGTCATTTCTTCTTTTGTTTTGGTTGTTCTCTATTCAAGAACAGTTTTCAAAATCTCTTTTGACATCCATTTTGGTCTTTTCTTCCTTCCCTCTCTTTTTAATGACCTTATGCTTTCTTTCTATATGATGTTCTTGATGTCATTCCCCACACCTCGTCTGGTTTTCAGTCATTGGTGGTCATTGTATCAAATCTGTTCTACAGATAGTCTCTAAATTCTGGTGGGATATAATCAAGGTCATTTTTTGGCTCTCATGGACTTTTAAAATTTGCTTCAGCTTCAGCTTAAACTTGCATATGAACAGTTGATGGTCTTTTCCACAGTCATCTCCTGGCCTTGTTTTGGCTGCTTATAATGAAGTTCTCCATAAGCTCTTTCCACAGATGTAGTCAGTTTGATTCTTGTGTATTCCATCTGGCAAGATCCAGTTGTGTAGACACCGTTTATGTTGTTGAAAAGGGTATTTGCAATGTATGAGTCATCAGTCTTGCAAAATTCTTTGATATGGTCTCCAGCATCATTTCTATCACCAGTACCATATTTTCTACCTACTGATGCTTCTTTGTTTCCAACTTTCATATTTCATTTATCTGTAGTAATCAATATGTCTTTAATTACCAGTTTCATCAGTTTCAGTCTGTGGAAGTTCTTAAATATCTTCAATTTCTTCATCTTTAGCTTTTGCAGTTGGTGCATAAATTTGAATAGTAAGTAGTATTAACTTGTCTTTCTTATAGGCATATGGATATTATCCTAACACTGACAACATTGTACTTCACGATAGATCTTGAAACATTCTTTGTAACAGTGAATGGGGCGCCATTCCTCTTCAATTTTTCATTCCTGGCATAGTAGATCATATGATTGCCTGATTCAGAATCGCCAAAACCAGTTCACTTCAGCTAACTCATGCCTAAGATCTTTATGCATTCAATTTCATTTTTGACAACTTTCAATTTTCCTAGATTCATATATACTTTGTACATTCCACCTTCCAATTATTTATGAATGGTTGCAGCTGTTCCTTCCCATTTTGAGGCATGTCCCATCAGCAAATGAAGGTCCCGAAAGCTCTACTCCACTCACGTCATTAAGGTTGACTCTGTTTTGAGGAGGGAGCTCTTTCCCTGTTGTATTTGAGTGCCTTCCGAGCTGAGGGTCTCATCTTCTGGCACTGTATCAGACAGTGTTTCAGGGCTGTTCATAAAATTTTCCAGTAATATATCAGACAGTGGTTCACTGCTATTCATAAGGTTTTCACTGGCCAATTATTTGAGACATGGATGTCCCCCTCCTTCATCTGAGCCTCTCTTAGTCTGGACACTGTGCTGAAACCTGTCCCCATGGGTGCCCCTACTGGTATTTGAAATACCGGTGACATAGCCTCCAGCCTCACAGCAACACACAAGCCACCACAGTATGATAAACTGACAGATGAGTGATGGATTTTCATTCTAGAACTTTCAAAATCAGTTCACTAGCTGTTGTCTTTAGGTGCTGTTGAGTCATCTCCAACTTATAGCAACCCTGTGCACAGCAGAATGAAACACTACCTGGTCCTGTGCCAGCCTCACGATCCTTGCTATACCTGAGCCCATTGTTGCAGCCATTGTGTTAATCCATCTCATTGAGGGCCTTCTCCTTCTTCATCAACCTTCCACTTTACCGTGCATGATATCCTTCTTCAGGAAATGGTTCCTTCTGACAGCACATCCAGTGTAGGTGAGAAAAAGTTTGGCCATTCTCACTTCCAAGGAACATTCTGGCTGCACTTACTACAGGGCAGATTTGGTACTCTTAGCATTCTTCTCCAACACCACAACTCAAAAGCATCAGCTCTTCTTCAGTTTTTCTTATTCATTGTCCAGCTTTCACATGCATAAAAGGCAATTGAGAATACTATGGCTTGGGTTAGGTGCACCTTAGTCTTCAAGGGGACATCTTTGCTCTTCATCACTTGAAAGAGGTTCACTGAGGACAGCCGTAATAACCTTACAAAATTCAAAATTCCATGGGCACTGACTGTGGATCCAAGTAAAATGAGATCCTTAACAGCTTCAATCTTTTCTCCATTTATCATGATACTGCTTATTGGTCTAGTTGTGAGGATTTTTGTTTCCTTTATAATGAGGTGTAATCATACTGGATTACAGGGTCCTCTCACCGTACAAAACCTCTGCCTTCCCGTTTGTCTGTATCTCTTAACTCTTCATCTTCACTAACTACTCTCCAACCCCCCATGTGTTCTCTATCTACTACAATGCACCAAACTCATTTCTTCCCTTAAGGCCTCACTTCCTATTTCTTCTCTCTGCACTGATCTGTCCCAGATGGTTGGCCCTTTCTTTTGATTCAGGTCTCAGCTGAAATGTCACTTCCACAGGGAGGTTTTTATCTGAGTACCCAATGTAAATTCGACCCTCTATTTTATTTTCTTTATAGCATACATCACTATCTAAAATGATCTTATTTGTTTATTTGTTTACATATTTATTGCTTGTCTCCCCAAACTGAGAGCAGTGTCTTACCACTTGTTCTGGTTACCTAGTGCTGCTCTGACAAGATAAATGGGAAGTGGCTATGGAATGAGGGACCTTGGGGTCCAGCAAGTTTACCTGTGTTCTGTTGCTATTCAAAGGCATTAGACAGTGCCTGAGGGTTATTGCTGATGTGAGATGGACCTTGGCTGAAAGGAGAGAATACCATTGTAAAAAATGAGGATTCCAGAACACTAAATTGTGTTCATGAGGAACCTGAACACAGACCAAGAGGCAGTTGTTCGAAGAGAACAGGGGGCTACAGCATAGTTTAAAAGCACGGAAAGTACGTCAGGGTTGTGTCCTTTTACCATATTAATTCAATCTGTATGCTGAGCAAATAATCTGAGAAGCTGGACTATATAAAGAAGAATGTGGCACCAGGATTGGAGGAAGATAACAACTTATGATAGGCAGATGTTACACCCTTTCTTGCTGAAAATGAAGAAGACTTGAAGCACTTACTGATGAAGATGGAAAAGTACAGTTTCCAGTATGATTACACCTCATTATAAAGGAAACAAAAATACTCACAACTAGACCAATAAGCAGTATCATGATACATGGAGAAAAGATTGAAGCTGTTAAGGATTTCATTTTGCTTGGATCCACAGTCAGTGCCCATGGAAGCAGCAGTCAAGAAATCAGGTGAAAATGCATTGATCAAATCTGCTGCAAAAGACCTTGAAAGTGTTAAAGAGCAAAAATGTCACTTGAAGACTAAGGTGCATGTAACCCATTTTCATTTGCCTCATATGTTTGTGAGATCTGTACAATGAGTAAGGAAAGTTAGAGAAGAATAGATACATTTGAATTATGGTGTTGGCAAAGAATATTTAGTATTCATTCTGTGAACTGCCAGAAAAATGAACATATCTGTCTTGGAAGAGGTATAGTCAGAATGCTCCATAGAAACAAGAATGGCCAGACTTCGTCTCTCATGCTTTGGTTATGTTATCAGGAGAGACCAGACCCTGGAGAGAAGGCTTTCATGCTTGGTAAAGTAGAAAGTCAATGAAAAGGGGGAAGACCCTCAGCAAGTTAATACAATGGTTGCAACAGTGGGCTCAAGCCTAGAAATGGTTGTGAGTGTGGCACAGGACTGACTGGGCAGTGTTTCATTCTGTGGCTATGAGTCTGAGCTGACTGAACCTAACAACAAATATTTCTATAACTAAAAATCACCCACTAATTTAAAATTTCTACTTGAGCCAAAGTAATGAACTTAAAACAATTTTTCTTAGCCCATTTATGTCAGTAAATCCATCAAGGAAATCTGTTTAATAAGAATATGAATAGCCAGAAGTAATGCATTACAGTGTAAAGGATCTGAACCATATTACTCAAATCCTCTTATTTAGGCTTTTAAAAAATGGTATTTACTTAAATGTTTTTACTCAAAACAGGTGAATATTTTTCATTGTGGATGTGTCATAGCAGAAATACGTGACTACAGGCAATCTGGTAATATGAAATCTCCTGGTTACCAAAGTAGGCATATTCTTTTACGTCCAACAATGCAGGTAAGAAGTGTTTAACTAAGAAATATTTTAAATTTCAGTTGTAGTTTTATTTATTAACTTTATTTGTGTTTGCGTACCTGTACATTAATGTACACTTAAATTTTTATTTTTTCTAGACTTTAATTTGTGATGTACATTCAATAACAAGTGATAACCATAAATGGACCCAGGTTAGTTGTTTCTGGCTTTTAACCTCAAGTGGGATTAAATGTAAGATGAAGCAATAGTTAACCATTATGTTAAGCACAAAGTACGTTTGGCTTACATTTTTATTCACAATGAAGTTTGTCACTTTTAGTGAAAAATGATCTAGAATTCTTTTATGAGCTTTAGAAGTCAAGAGTCTCTTCAGACATGATTATAATCCCTCAAGGAACTCCAATCCAAGTGAAATAGAATCAGGCTGACCTAATCTGCCCTGTGTGAAAATTTTTTATCATCTTCCAAACAGAAGAGAGATATTTTGTTTGTACCGTGGATCCTTTTCGATGGTGATTTCCTATCACTAAGGATTCTAACACAGGCGTAGTCTTTTTCTTTGTTGTGTATGCTAGTTGCCTTGGTATTCTTTTCCCTAAGAATAGCCAGTTAACTCTTTAATTTCTGGCTCAGTAATATATATGAGGTACTCATTCACAAGAGTATTCACATATTTCTCTGTTATTTAGAGAGTGATAATTACTTAACCAAAGAAAATACCAGCAATGAAAATTACCTTCTTTGTGAAATACAAAGATTCAGTTCATTAATAACTATCAAATGTTCTGTTTTTGTTTTGGCTATAATCTTTAACTCTACAATAAGGTTAAAAGCTTTTGGGAAAATAGATAAAAATTAACTCACTGTTGTTCCCTGTATGAGGTTGCTAAGGCAGTAGTTCCTTCTTCTGAAAGTTGATATGAGAACATGGTATTTATTTTACCTTTCCTATTTTATTGTATTGTTTATATTTTATCATACTGTAAAATACAGTATGAAATACAGTATGAACTGTACAAGGACTGATAGAATTAATACAAAATTATCAATTTGGTACCTTAATGAAATATTGAATGTACACAGGAGTCATTTATAGATGTGAAAACCATTAGATAAAAAGACTTAGGAAACCACCCTCCTCCATGGGAAATTTTGTAATGCAGACATCAGGTGACTAAACCTATTTATCCAAAAGTGGGACAGCTGATAACTGTGTCCCTGCAGTGATGAAATAGAAAGCACACAGTAATACTTATAAAGAATCCTTTAAAAAAAAAAAAAAAAAGGCATTAAACCAAGCCTCTAAATGTAACTAACTGCTTATAGAGGATTCAGGAAGTAAAAGATCTAGTTAAATTATACCATGAGGAAGCACTTGGCCAAATCCAAGCAATAATTTACATGAGAAAAGCAAAAAAGATGGAGGAAGAGGTGATTGGTTTAGAATAAAAAGATACTTGAGAGATAGAATAACTGAATGCAATGTATAGACCTTCTTTGAGTTTGGATTCAAACAAACCAACTAAATTCACTCTTGAGACATTGAGTTGGGGAGGATTTTAATCTAGACTGGGTATTAAAAGTTTCTTAACAGTTAGCAATGCCTACTGAACTATTCCAGGTATAATCATAATAATGTCTGGCATGTATTTTAAATTAATCAAAAAGTTGCAGAGCGGTTAAACCAAATTGGATGTTGGGCACAGGGGGTCATTACACTTTTTCTTCTACTTTTGTTTTTCTGTAGTAGAAAGTTGAATAAAACTATTGAAAGAGGCTTTTTTTTTTTTTTGCAAAATTTTTTTTTTAAGTTTTATTGTGATTTGAGTGAAAGCTTACAAAGTAAATTCATCTTTTATACAGCAATTTACTTTGTCTCATGACATTGACTGTAATGTCCCACAGTGCAACAGCTTTCCTCTTACTCCCTCCCCATAGCCACCTCTTCCCTGTCTCCTTCCCTCCCACGCACTCCTTCCCCCTGAGCTGTCTCCCTGTGCATACACAGCCCTTCTGTTCTCCCATGATTGATCTTTCCAAGGAGTGTATCTACCTAACGTAAATGTTCAGCTCATAT